AAATAAATAAATAAATAAATAAATAAAAATCGTGTAGTCGATGACATTCCAATCTCTTCATACATAGTTAAATTAATTAACTTTTTCAGGACAGACTCATATCCAAGTAGTGATATGAGTTGAACCTTCCTCTGGGTTCCACAGGAAAGTTTCAGAGAAAAGTAGGAATTCTGAGCCCAAAAACAAAATATTTAAATAACACGAGGTTCACTTATCTTGGAGGACTCAATAGCAGCAACAAATTTAGCAGAGAAAGACTCTGCTACAGAGAAAAAAGAATTTTTACTCTGTAATAGTATCAGGGGTACTTTCAAGGAGAGCTACAAAGAGGTGCCTTTTTTGGAAGGCAACTCACAGAATTTTCCCAGGCAAAGCGGCCAAAATTCTGGGAGATTCTAGGACCTGTGGTCTAAAACCAAATCTCGGCAGCAAAACTCAGAAGTGAGGTGCATCCTTTTCTCTTCCTCATTCTGCCCAAGCATGTTAAAAAAAGAAGTGTGGTTTTGTCCGTCAATGGCTGAGCAAAGGCCAGAAGGCATCTTTGCCCAGAAGATAAAAGAGGAATGTGAAACAGACAGCCAAGGACAACATCTGAGAAGAACAACCATAAAAAGCAAACACGAAGGGAAGTTGACCTATGATGGGTCTGCTATGTATGTCTGTTGCCTTCACACTTAAGACGTCCTAAGATAATCATTTTGTTATTGGTACGTTGGAATTTTCCTAATGACACTGTGAAAAGAATAAAAAGGTAGTGAGGAATAAAGGAAAAGAGAGATACAGTGGTGCCCCGCATAGCGATCGCTCAGTTTAGCGATGAAATCGCTTTGCGATGAAGATTTTGCGATCGCTTTTGCGATCTCTTTGCGATGGCCGATTATCGCAAAGTGACCATTTTCACACAGCTGATCAGCAGTTTCAAAATGGCCACCAGGAAAAAACATGGCCGCCCGCTGTTTTCTGGGACGGATTCCTTACTTAAGAGGCACCAGAAATGGCCGCACTATGGAGGATCTTCGCTGAACAGTGGGTTTTAAGCCCACAGGAACGTATTAATTGCATTTTAATGTGTTTCTATGGGCTTTCTTATTTCGCATTGCGACGTTTTCGTTCAACAGCGATTTCGCTGGAACGAATTAACAGCGCAATGCGAGGCACCACTGTATTTAGCATTTAATGCTGTGACAACCCAGCTTCCTGTTAAGGAGAACGTGGTTGGCGGACTGAGAGTAATTGGGAGCCTGAGTACCCCTAACCAGCTGGGCTAAGTCCTGGTGACCTCAGCCAGGGTGTACAACAAAGTCCTTCTTACAAGTCTACTCTAAAAAGATACTTGCTTACTCTCACACACACCCAGTTCCCCTGTTCTTCCACACAACCCAGGTTCACTTTCGGGTATGTCATTTACTTTTCAAACCTTTCCGGTGCCACCAGAGGAGTTATTCCTCACTATATCAAATATGACTCTTAAATCAGTGTTATTCAATAAAACAATGTTTATTTAAGTGTTTATCAGTAAATCATATAAAGTGAATCATGGATGATCTTATTTTATTTATTCAATCAACTGTGCTTTGATAACATTTATATTTGCTTACGTATAATTATGTTAACCAAGGTATTTATTCATTTCTTATCTTGTTCTCCATCTCTCTATTATATGACTCTTAAATCAGTGTTATTCAATAAAACAATGTTTATTTAAGTGTTTATCAGTAAATCATATAAAGTGAATCATGGATGATCTTATTTTATTTATTCAATCAACTGTGCTTTGATAACATTTATATTTGCTTACGTATAATTATGTCAACCAAGGTATTTATTCATTTCTTATCTTTTTCTCCATCTCTCTATTCTTCTCTAACACAGTACTGGTCCTAACTGCCTAAACTGCTTCTCTCTAACTGAAGTCCCTGACTCTAAATCATATCCCTAACTCATCCCTAACTGATCTTTAACTGTCTTCCATTCTTCTTATATATCCTTAGTTCCGCCTCTTTCATTCACCCATTGGTTGTTAAATCAGGGTTCCATTGTGATAGACAGGAGTGGTCACTGATCTGGCCGTCACATTTACACTTAATAAAGTTCAGCAAGAAGTTACACATGAGCTTTGTAGTCCTAAAATCTACCTGGCTCAATTAGGTAGGACTCAGTAGCTTACTGTGGCCTTGCCTCTCCCTCTGGGAATGGCTGCAACAGGCTTTACTGTTCAAGAGACCAAAAGTTTTATTATTGATCTTTTATTGAAAAAAATATAGATTTACAGAATAAAGTCAGTTTGACGCAAAAGCACAGCAATAAAGTACTTTCAAGACTTGTTACAATTACAAAGAAGAAGACCTAGAAAAATCTCTGGTTCCATGAAAGGAAAAAAATAGGAACAAGATGGAACACAGCACATGGCAAATGTTCATTTTTCTATCTTCCAGGCTCTTCCTGTCTTCTTCATCTCCCACGCTGTTATCCAATCACAGTGTAATGTGGCAGAAGTAGTCCCCTCCTTCTCTTTTCATGGGAAACAGGTGTTGTTTTCCTCCGTCTATTCTCTTCTCCTCCATAACAAGTGTCTGGT